GCATAGATATTTATAATTGTTATACCTTCTTTTTGGATTGATCTCTTGATCATTATGTAGTGTCCATCTTTGTCTCTTGTAAGAGTTTATTTTAAAGTCTATTTTGCCTGATATGAGAATTGCTACTCCAGCTTTCTTTTGATTTCCATTTGCATGGAATATCTTTTTCCATCCCGTCACTTTCAGTCTGTATGTGTCCCTAGGTCTGAAGTGGGTCTTTTGTAGACAGCATATATATGAGTCTTGTTTTTGTATCCATTCAGCCAGTCTGTGTTTTGGTTGGAGGATTTAATCCATTTATATTTAAGAGAATTATTGGTATATATGTTCCTATTACCATTTTCTTAATTATTCTGGGTTTGTTATTATAGGTCTTTTCATTCTCTTGTGTTTCCTGCTTAGGGAAGTTCCTTTAGCATTTGCTTTAAAGCTGGTTGGTGGTGCTGAATTCTTGTAGCTTTTGCTTGTCTTTTAAGGTTTTAATTTCTCCATCAAATCTGAATGAGATCCTTGCTGGGTAGAGTAATCTTGGTTGTAAGTTTTCTCCTTTCATCACTTTAAATATGTCCTGCCACTCCCTTCTGGCTGGCAGCGTTTCTGCTGAAAGGTCACCTGTTTACCTTATGGGGATTCCCTTGTATGTTATTTGTTGCTTTTCCCTTTCTGCTTTTAATATTTTTTCTTTGTATTTAATTTTTGATAGTTTGATTAATATGTGTTTTGGCATGCTTCTCCTTGGATTTATCCTGTATGGGACTCTCTGGGCTTCCTGGACTTTAGTGACTATTTCCTTTCCCAAATTAGGGAAGTTTTCAACTATAATCTCTTCAAATATTTTCTCAGTCCCTTTCTTTTTCTCTTCTTCTTCTGGAACCCCTATAATTTGAATGTTGGTGCGTTAAATGTTGTCCCAGAGGTCTCTGAGACTGTGCTCAATCCTTTTCATTCTTTTTTCTTCATTCTGCTCTGCAGTAGTTTTTTCCACTATTTTATCTTCCAGGTCACTTATCCATTCTTCTGCCTCAGTTATTCTGCTATTGATTCCTTCTAGCGAATTTTTAATTTCATTTAATGTGTTGTCCATCATTGTTTGTTTGCTCTTTAGCTCTTCTACATCCTTGTTAAACATTTCTTGTATTTTCTCCATTCTGTTTCCAAGATTTTGGATCATCTTTACTCTCATCACTCTGAATATTTTTTCAGCTAGACTCCCTATTCTCTCTTCATTTCTTTGGTCTGGTTGTTTTTTTCCTTGCTCCTTCATCTCCTTTGTATTTTGGTAAACTTACTACGTTTGGGGTCTCCTTTTTCCAGGCTGCAGGTTCGTAGTTCCTGTTGTTTTTTGGTGTCTGCCCCCAGTGGGTAAGGTTGGTTCAGTGGCTTGTGTAGGCTTCCTGGTGGAGGGGACTGGTGCCTGTGTTCTCATGGGTGGGGCTGGATCTTGTCTTTCTGGTGGGCAGGGCTGCAGCCGGTGGTGTGTTTTGGGGTGTCTTTGACCTCTTTATGATTTTAGACAGCCTCTCTGCTAATGGGCGGGGTTGTGTTCTTGTCTTGCTAGTTGTTTGGCATAGGGTGTCCAGCACTGTAGCTTGCTGGTTGTTGAGTGGAGCTGGGTCTTAATGTTGAGACAGAGATCTCTGGGAGAGCTCTGGCTGATGGATATTATGAGGGTCTGGGAGGTCTCTGGTGGACCAATGTCCTGAACTTGGCTCTCCCACCTCAGAGGCTCAGGCCTGACACCTGGCCGAGCACAAAGATCCTGCGCCACTACACTCCCCAGGCCTGTCCGAGCACCTGGCTGGCTCCCTGCTCCCGGCTCCCAGTCCTGGCTTAGCTGGTTAAGGATTTTTATGTCTATGTTGGGATATTGGTTTGTAGTTCTAAGGTCTTTGATTTTGGTATCAAGATGTTGCTTGCCTCATAAAATCAGTGGTAAAGTGTTTTATTCTCTTGTATTTTCTGAAAGACTTTGTGTAAAAATTTTTTTTTTTTCGGTGTTAAGTAGTATTCACTAATGAAGCTGTCTGGGCTTTGATTGTTCTTTGTGGAAAGTTTTTAACTACAAATTAACTTATAGATACAGGACTCAACTTTATCTAATTTTTCTTGAGTGACCTTTGAGAGTTTGTGTCTTTCCAGAAATTTATCTATTTAATATAACTTTTTAAATTTATTGACACAAAGTTATTCCTAATATTTTCCTATTATCCTTTTAATTCAAGTAGGGACCACAGTGATGGCCTTTTTCATTATATTTACTTGTAACTAATGTCTCTCCTCTTTTCTTTATCAGTCCAGCTAGAGGTTTTTGTATTATATTTTTTTTTCAAAGAACTGGCTTTTGGTTTTATTGATTTTCTCTACAATTTTCTGTTTTTTATTTCATTGATTTCAGTTTTCCTGTTTATTATTTCCTTACTTCTCCTTACTTTGAATTTTATTTGCTCTTCCTGTAATAGCTTCTTAAGAGGGATGCTTAGATCATTGATTTGTGATATTTTTCCTTTTCCAATACAAACACTTAAAGCTACAAACTTCCATCTAAGTGTTGCTTTTAGCTGCATCTCACACATTTTGATATGTTGATTTTACATTCTTATTCAACTCAGAATATATTTTTTCTAATTACTCTGGTGATTTCTTCTTTGACTCATGAGTATTTTTAGAAGCGTATTGCTTAAGTTTCAAATATTTGAGGTTTTCCCAGATATATCTCTGTTATTGAATTTGATTTTAGTTTTTCTGTGGAGCTAGAAAGTGATTTGTATTATTTTATTTTCGAACATCTACTGAAATTTGTATTATGGCCCAAAATATTGTCTTTCTGGATAACTGTTCCATGTGCACTCAAAACCAGTATGTATTCTGCTACTGCAGGGTGTCTAATTCTATAAATATCAGTTAAGTCAAACTGACTGATAGTGGTATTAGTCTTCTATATTTCAAATATTATTTCTTCTGCCCCTGTCTTTCTTCTCCTTTTGAGACTATAATTACTCAACGTTAGAATATTTGATATTGTTCTAGAGCTCCAGGACAATCTATTCTGTATTTTTCACTTTTTTACACTTTTTGTTTTGATTTGGATAATTTCTGTTGACCTAGCTTCAAGTTCACTAATTATTTTCTCTGCTGTGTTCAATCTGCTGATTAGCTTAAGGAATTCTTTCTATCCAATATTGTGTTTGTTGTTTCTGACATTTTATTTATCTATCTGTCTCTTTTGTATAGTTTTAATAATCTTTCTGAATCCCCACCTGTTTATGGGCATTAACCATAGTTGTTGTAAAGTCCCTGTCTGATAGTTCCATACCAAGATTTCAAAACTATTGATCATTTCTTCTCTGGTTCTTCTTTCTTGCTTTTGTGTTTGTGCATCTCATAATATTTTATTGAATTTTGGCCATGATGCATGAAAGAGTAGCAATTGAAGTAGGTTATACTTATTTCCAGTTCTTTACTTCCTACCTGCTTGTATGCCCAGGACCTTGTCCTCTCACCCTGTCCCAAAGATGAAATTGTTTACTTGTACCTTATCTCCTTGTAGGGCTTTTAATTCTTTGCATCTAAGTTTACCCAGTTGCCTGTGACTTCCACTTTCTGATTCATTCAAAGAAAAGCATGATTTTGTAGATTAACAGTCTCTTTTTTGTTGTTAGAATGGAAGTGATATTCTTTTGTGTCTTTCTCCATCCTGAGCAGAAATAGAACTCTGTTTTTAAAATTCAAGTTTCCATATATACTATCTAACAGTTGTGTTTTGATAGAAACCATCTGTTGTACGGATTCTGCTTGTCCTTGTAATTCATTATGAAAGGTCCCCTCAGATACATGATTAATTTCCTTTGTCTCTTTGGTGGAGCTGAAATAGGTAAGGGAAAGCATAGCCACAGTCTCTGCCACTGTGACCTGAGGGATACCAATAGGTAAATGGTCAGTTTGGGAGGAGACGACAGGAGGAAGTGTATCCCCCTCTCATTTCACTTCCCCAGATGCAAAGTCTGAAGTTTCCTGTATGAACGGGTGACCGCCCACCTGTTCAGGTCTCATGTAGGTTCTGGGGACACACAGACCAGCAGCTCTTCTCTAGAACACACACTTGGCCCATGCATTGAGCTTTCTCCAGAAAGAAGATGGAGAAGTTCTGTCAGCCTTTCAAGGCTTGGACCACATCCTCCTAGTCCCAGAAGAGGGGCAAACAACATAGCAGATTCATCCGATTCATCCAACTACCACCTTCCCAGAAATATCCCGAGGCCTTAATCCTCTGTTTTATTATTTCTAAATTTATTTTCTAAATTAGTTTTATATGGATCTTTTATGTGGATCACATCACATCTATGACCATAGCATACCACATCTGGGCCACTATTTCCTTGAATGCAAGCACTCAGAGGAGAGCAGTGTTTTAATTCGTGCTGTCTTAGTGCAATGATTTGACTTATTTGTTTAATAACATTAAATGATGCTGATAGTACATGGTGTTTCTAGACTGGAATAAACCACACTTAGAAGGGAAGTCTGCAATATTAGTTTTCTCCTTGTAGTCTCAGAGGTGCTCATCCTGTGAGGTCTTCAAATGCCTTGTCCCTGAAGCACTCCTTGTTTACATGAAGATTAAGTCCCTAGGGACACAGAAAATGTATTTAGTTACACAAGAGATGTCTACTTCTGTAGTCATTCTACTGTGATTTCTGTGAATAATTTATCAACTGCTTAGCGCTCATCAAATCTGATGAATTGTAGAAACTATCTGTGAGTTCTCTTACTCTTTATCTCAGAGTTTGAAATACTGTCATTTTAAATAAACATGTTTCTCCATAAACAAGAATTTCATCGTCAGAGGAAAGAAAAAATTCTTGATGTATCTGATGCTTGTCCTCTAGGTTGTGTGTTCGGCGTCCGTCATTTCCCTTCATTGGTCTGGTGTCCTTGAGCTCATTGTCTCTCTGTATTTATTCACGTTAGCATGACCGTTCCTCTTTTTTATTCTGTTGCAGGTGCTGGGGTTCCCCAGTTCCAACCGATTGCCCTGAATGGCCGAATTCAGGTCCTCAGCAACGGGTCTCTGTTGATCAAGCACGTGGTGGAAGAAGACAGCGGCTACTACCTGTGCAAGGTCAGCAACGATGTGGGCGCGGACGTCAGCAAGTCCATGTACCTCACGGTGAAAAGTAAGGAGGAAGAGCACTTCGTTTTACCTAAATAGGGCTTCGGGGGCTCCCATTTTCAGTGGTCTCCATGCATACTGTTTAAAAACAAAACACAACGAAAACAAAATGTGATTTGCTGCAGCTGGGGGTTTCCTGTCCTAAAATATACTTAAAGAGGACGGGAGAAGTTCAGCGATTGTCAGAGCCTGTGGGTCCCTTGGCCGTGGCTACAGGCTCTGCGTAAACTAGCAGACGAGTGGGTCCCTGACTTTAGCACCCACATTTCTCTCCTGTTGATTTTATTGTGGAAAAGCCCAGTGCACGCTCTCAGATGTGTTCCTTTCAGAGGGCTGTTCATGCTTTTTATTATCTGCAAGCTGGCTTGTCCATAGATTTCCTTTTTAAGATCCTTCTGAAATCCAGAAAACAGAAACCTCATTATCAACACACACATCTACAAGAACAAAGAACACGTAGCACTATGCTTAGGGTCCGTGTTGCTGACCCATTTTTTAGGAAAGGGCACTTTATAGTGAAATTATTTGTATACTTTGGTAACTAAACCACCAAAGAAAGAACCAAAGTAGACCAACTTCTACTGAGTCCTGCTCATTAGCAAATGGTTGTACAAGTAGTTTAAGTGAATGACTTATGTCTTTCTCCGTTTATATTCTTTACTACTGGATAGATTGTGATTTCTTCCTGACTACAAGGTTTTGATCAGACTTCCTCTTTTTTATTTTAATTATGCTGTCTGTAGGTTGTCAGGATCTCTATCGTATCATTTATTAGAGAGATTGGATTTAAAATTGAATTCTAGTGGTGTGTGTGTGTGAGAGAGAGAGAGAGATTTAAAGGCTAGCTACACACAAACAAGTATCCATCCTATTTTACTAAGAATTTATTCTAGTTAACCCATTTTTTCTAATAGGACAGTGAAAATATCAAGCTGTCTATTCGGTATACTTTTATATCATAGACAAATTAAAGTTCTGAAAGAAGGTTGCTTTGAAATATATTATGGACATATCCAATACATACATTTGACTTCTAAATATTATACTCCAGAGGAACTGATTTTCAAGAATCTGAAGACACATTGTCGTATCACTTAAATACAAAGTTGAAATCGTAATTTTTAAAACTAAGTTGATGAAATATTAAGGAAACCCAAGATCTGAAGACCAATACTGACCGATGTTGATCCATCTTTCCCCAACAAAAGAAATGTATTTTGCAATTGCTTTAACATACTAAAATTTATAAAGCATTTTTTTCTGTCGCACTCATATATGTATCTAAGCTCTAATAGATACAGTGCCCCATGAAGGATGTAAATACAATCAACCATAGACCTTACCTTCATGAATGAGAGAGCTTATGTCTTGAGAAAGGAGACAGCCTGCTAGTCATAGTGCAAGGGAAGGAGTAAGGTGCACAGAGATGTGCCTTTCAAAGGAGGACAGAACCATCGTTTTGAGCGGATTAAGGAAAGCGTCAGGGGAAAAAATCTTTAAAAATGGGTAGAATTTAAAAACGTAGAACTTGAAGATTTCCCCACATCTCCTCTCTCCATACCTTTGATGCTGGTAGTGGGTCCATCAGGCCTGGGTGTGGACAGCTCCGTCCAGCAGAACGCGTTGGTGTCAGGATAGACCATGGGACACTGGGAATGCACAGATGAGGGTGTGGTTTACACCCCCTGGAGAATCAGTGCCTACAGAATGGTACTCATGGCCTCTGAGTTCAGTCCTAAAGGGTGCAGTAGATTTCTAAAGATAGAATTGTTGGGGGTAAACAGAGGCGCTCAAGGGAGAGAGAACAGAGAGAGCAGATACAAGAAATCAAAAGACTCAAGGCAAGAGGTAACTGTGTTTGAATGCTCTATCTGCTATGTGGAGGGGATTAGAGAAAGAAACATTTAAAGCGAGTGTTCGTCAAAGAAAACCGTTCTTAGGGTTTGTCAATCTTAGTTTCTCTCTCTCAAACTATACAAACTGCTAGCAGAGAGGCACATTTATAGAACAGTTAATTTTACCAGTTCTTGATAACCCTCCGGTGACTTTATACATATTTTAGCAGGAACTAAAACAACATTGTAAAGCAATTTTACTCCAATAAAGATGTTAAAAAAATCATAATATTTAAATTCTGAAAAGTAAAAACATAATTTAATAAAGAGATATAGAAACAGAAGACAAAAGATATACAGTATCTCTAACTGTTGCTCAAATGATACCATTTAAACAAAAACAATAGCTAACACAGGGATGGCTTTCGCTTGTTCTTTGTATATTTGCTTGGCAAGACTGTTAAGGGTATGAAAACCGACACATTTAGGCTCTGCACATGGCAATGGGAGACCTGCCACTTGGCGTACAGCTCTTTTACTGAGAAAATGGGAGGAAGTGGGAGTGGAGAGCATTGGCTCTGACCTGCCGGGGACAGAGCAGGTGCCTGGCTGCTGAGCAAGCAGATTGTATGTCGCTGCACTGGTAACGGGATTATACCTGGCACTGCAGCAAAAGGCTCTTCTTATCTGACGCTACCCAGGCTTACATCAGGCACAATTTCTTTAATGTTTCAAAAGAAATTGCACTGCTTTCAGTAAGAATAGTAAGGACTCTCCCTTTTCTATAAATCATTAAAAAAAAAAAAAAACTGGTCTGCAAATATTTTTAAATGCAGTAGGAGAGAACTTTCTGCCTGATCAGGCATGTCAGGAAATTAAGACAGCTTCTCAGATGAGAACTCCAGATGCCCAGGATGGCTGGTGCTGGGTTTTACACGTATTTTAAAGACCCGAACTCTACTGATAGAGCCTGGTGTTGGGGTCTCACTGGGGACACTGGGGACCATGCACTGGCACTGGCTGGGTCTCCTCTCTGGGAAGTTTTCTTACCATGACTCCAATGCTTTCAGAACTCGCTAATCTAATAATAAAGCAACTTAACAATGAATGCCTCCCCCCGACCCTGTTTTGGAATCAGGCATGATGAGACTGTGGGCAGGAAAGACAGAAGGCAACCAAGTTTGGAAGGAGTGGTCATGGAAAGCCATCAATGAGACAGAAAAATAATCAGTGCAAATCCTCCTGGTTTTGTTGGTATTCTTGCTTCTGGTTCTACATTATCTCAATTCTAATTTATCCTTTACGTAAAATCATCCCAGGAATAGGGACCCAAAACATCGGAAAATGTTAAGTACCTTTGGCAGGAAAGACGGGAACTGCGCTCTACTTTCAATCAAATGTGGCCTTTGGTGACAGCACTGCGCCCCTCACCCCAGGCCCACCAGGGGCTGCAGAAGCCTCACCACTTGGGCAAAATAAAAGAAGCCTCCCCACTTGGGGCACGTGGTCTTTTGTGCTAAGAAAATAGTTCCCAAAACTGCAGAATCTTTCAGGTGGATGTACCGTCTTCTCCCAGGTGCCCAAATCGCATCCTCACCATCCCAGCTTTCTGCCCCTGGCTGGTCTGAGCCTGTGTGTCTCCAGGAACCCTGCTATCTTTCTGTTTGGATCTGTGGCCCACGATGCCCAGGCAGCTCTTCTTTTGTCTGCTGCTCTGCACAGGTCCCTTCTGATCCCCGCGTGCCGTGTAGGAGAGCATCCCTTATCAACCAGGAGCAGGCGCTTCCCTGGAGAGTCGGTTATTTGTGGAACCCACCTCCCCATCTCTGGCTTCTGGAGCCAACCTGCAAGGGCTCCAGTCCAGCCTTGGTCCTCAGGCCTCCCTCTGGGCAGGTCCCTGGGTCCCGTGTGGGGACACATGCGTGTGCACTGCATGTGCACGCACCAGCTCGAGTCAGCTTTGGTCAAAAAGTCCCCAGGCCTTGGCCAATTCTGGACAGACCTCAGTAATGTGACTTGACCTCAGGCTACCTCATGTCCTGCTATTGCCAGAGTGGGTGTTGGGCTTGGAATACAATAACCCATCCCCCCTCCAAATAAAAGAATCCATAAATAGCCTTCGATAGTCCATCCACCCTCTGTTACTTCCCGCCCTCATGTGCTGCCTCTAGCATGTACAGGTATCTGCGGGAACACCTGAAGTGCTGCTCTGTGGTCTCTGAAGGGAAGGAAGGGGCACCACCCTGGGCTGCCCCGCAGTGAGGCTGCGGTGGCCTCAGTCCCTTCCACAGGGTGCTCCCAGGCTCCTCCTGGTCACTCTGTAAAGGCCACTCTTTAAGAACAAGAGATAAACGCTTGTATTTTTCCTTTGTTTTGTGCTCACAGAAGTAGTGGGAGTGAAGTTTGCCTACATAAAAACACTAAATTACAGTTGTTAGTTCCTTAAACTGTCAAGATTGCTTGTGTGTATCTCAGTCTAATGCTGCTTTCCCTGTATTATTTTAATTTGAGAGCTTCTAAGTGAAGCCTTCAGAACCTTGGCTCCTGGGCCCCAGAAGGCTGTAGCTGATCCTGAGATTGTGCGATCCCTTGAAATCATATGCAAAAATGTATGTGTTTTCTGGGAAGAAACACTGTAGGCTTTATATCTTTAAAGGGATTCCTGGGCTTCCCTGGTGGTGCAGTGGTTGGGAGTCCACCTGCCGATGCAGGGGACGCGGGTTCGTGCCCCGGTCCGGGAAGATCCCATATGCCGCGGAGTGGCTGGGCCCGTGAGCCATGGCCGCTGAGCCTGCGTGTCTGGAGCCTGTGCTCTGCAATGGGAGAGGCCACAGCAGTGAGAGGCCCGTGTACCGCAAAAAAAAAAAAAGGGATTCCTGATGCAAAACAAGGTCAGCACGACTGTTCTCGAAAATCACAGCCGGGATGGCCTGAAATAAAGACTGTGTGTAGTGCTTTTCATGCAGGGTATCTCAGAGCATCCAGATGGAAGTGACCAGTACATGACAATAGGGTCACAAGAGCTGAGGAGGAATAAATAGCCATGAATCAGTGGAAAACTAGGTTTTACTGAAAACTGGGTTTTAATACTGCATCACCTTTGCTTCAGGTCCACACTCTTATTGCAGCCTTGAAGCAGAAGAAACATAAATGAATCAAAGGCATATACCCCTCTGGTCAGCAGTCTGGCTCCAGACTCACACTACCGAGGTTCTACCCCTTCCAACCCTGTGCCCAGGGGCAAGTGATTCACCCTCTGTGCAAGCCTACGTGAAACAGAGACAACCACAGACCTCTCTGTCCTCTCAGGGTTGCTGTAAGGCTGACATGAGCCATCACACAGAAGAGCTTAGGTATTAGGTGGGTGCAGGCGAGTAGCGGGTGTTCTTTAGGTGGAGGCTGTGAATGCTGGTGTTATTATCATAACACCCGAATTACAACCCCGCCTGAGACACATCCATGCTGGTCAGAGACTACGAGGTGTCCCTGAGTCCAAATCACCCAGTTTACACTCTT